TGTAGGATTAACTTGGTAACATCTATGTTGTGGTGTTGAATCACCTTTTAGTGGAACAAATCACCATGGCAATTTATATTCTCGGGCTTAGCTCAGGTGAGCAATTATTCTCTTATCCTAAGCTTTTAAGCTGAAACCTTTGTTTAAACCAACAAGACCGTGTACAATCTTCAACCAACAGACCTCAATATCAACAATCTGCTTTACCCTGATAACTTTAATCAATGCACACTATAATAAATACTGTAGGCTTTTTTGTTTGTTTATTTTCTAGTGAAAGAAAACAGTTTGCTGTCTGCGGTACAGTTGTAAGCAGGGGACCTAGATTCACACTGAGAATATGTTAAAAGAAAACCCCCCTTCTTCAGAAAGTCTGCCACTGAAATTGAAACTTCCCGTACTTGAGCACACAAAATGTTTTCGGCAATCTTCACAATGCTACCTAGCTAAAAGGAAACAGATGTCATGGTTTCCTTTCAAAGAGCAGTTAGTCTTAGACACTCCTACACACCAAAGTGACAGTTCAGGGTAGAATGGGAGGCTATTTCTCATCTCTTCTCTCGTAAAGATGGAGGCTCCGTCAGATGCCTTCCATCCCCCATCCGTCGCAATAAGGTAATGAGGGGGGTGTTCGTTAACAACTGTTGATGCACCTGCTAGATAAGCTGAACACCTTCTCTATTGTTCTGAGGATCTTACATCAGACAGGAAGCAGGCAGATAAAGAAGGCCATAATCATGTGCGATTTAGATGGAGCTGCAACAACTCTGGCACAAAGGTTAAAGTTTGCATATTCATCACTAAATGGCGGTTGCCTTGACATGATAAATAATCTCAGGAGGTGATAGCATCTATAAATCAAGTGCAGGGTTTTATGAGGCAAAAGAAAAACTAGGAAATGTCAAGATGGTTGACTAATCAGAATAGCTGGCAATATTATCAACATTTCTTATACTTTTTAGCCAGTTCACATTGTGTGATTCTAATCAGTTTGTATGATATGATCCCAATGAAAAAGCAGAAAAGCAAAGGCAGATTGTTTGACATCAACCATCAAGCATGTAAGACTGTACGATGTAAACTATTGATTGATTTGATCAAAGAAAAACAAAAAAAACAATATTGTGAAATATGAATACAATTTAAAGTAACTGTTTTCTTTTTGTAATATATTTTAAAATGGAATTTATTCCTGTGATGGCATAGCTTAATTTTCAGCAGCCATTACTCCAGTTTTCAGTGTCACATGATCTTTCAGAAATCATTCTAATATGCTGATTTGATGCTCAAGAAACATTTCTTATTAAAGGGGTCATATGATGCGATTTCAATTTTTCCTTTCTCTTTGGAGTGTTACAAGCTCTTAGTGCATAAAGAAGATCTGTAAAGTTGCAAAGACAAAAGTCTCAAATCCAAAGAGATATTCTTTATAAAAGTTAAGTCAGTCACGCCTACCTAAAATTCACACCTACCTCGTTCTAACACGCCCCCACGTGTCTACCTCACTATGTGGGAAGATTTGCATAATGCCGCTCAAATGTTCAGAAAGAAGGCATAACTTTTATTCTCGCTGTAGTATTGTTGCCGCTTTCCGCCATGTCCTGAAGACACTGTGTGCTTCGTTGTGAAAGCGAAACTACTTTGTTTGGTCTTCCAAAAGAAGACGATATCCACTTCGTCATGCCTAGAGCTGATCTGTGCTGGTCGCTGAGGGAATACATCAACTTAGTGCTGTGGATCACCGGATCGGCTTTCACCGTGGACGAAGCCCGGGGTCGTCACATGTGCTTGCCGCTCCTCCGTCGGATCCGCCGGCTGCGCCGTTCTAAACCCCGGCGCCTCAGCTCACTCTATCCCAGCCTCAGCGCACGCTAAGCCGGGTCTTCCCCTCACGCTAGGCCGCTGTGTTGTTCGTTGTGAAAGCGAAACTACTTTGTTTGGTCTTCCAAAAGAGGACACGACTACAAATCAGTGGTTAAGTTGTATTTACAACACTGTTCCAGAACAGTTTAACCCAAATATCTAGAAAAAAGACAGTATAAGTCATTATAATCAGTAATTATGTCCCCACTGGATGCAACAAATGCCTCGTTTGTAATGGGTTTTATTGTTTTTGTCTCATCGCTCCGGCCGGGACACGGCATCAACAGTATGGTGAGGGGCGTAACATTTCCGTCTCACTCTTGAGGTATTTGGCCAATCACAACGCACTGGATAGCTGGCCAATCACAGCACACCTCGCTTTTTCAGACCGATGAGCAGAAAGGCGGGGCATAGAGGAGAAACAACAATGTACAGTATGTGGAAAATATAGTTTTTTTTTTTTTTTTTACTTTAAACCGCAAACACATTTCATTACACCAAATACACCAAATAATGTTCTTTTTAGCAGCATCATATGACCCCTTTAATGTTTAAAACAGTTGTGCTGGTTAACATTTTTTTTTGTGGAAACATACTTTCATAATTGTTTGATGAATATAACAATATATTATATATTTGAAACAGAAATCCTTTGCAACAGACAGACAGATTTGGGTCAAATGAACGCACAACAGTAGTTAAAATCAATAAGTCGTTCAGCCCTACATTATTCGAGTTTGAAAATATGTAGTTTTGCTATTCCTAGAACTCCCTTTAAAAAAAATTTAATAAATAAAAAAAAACTTGCACTTGACTGACATTGATTTGTTGATGTTTTATTGATAAGTGCCGGTACTGGATTAAGCTATAGCATTTCATCTACATTTTAATAATGTAAGCATTTTCACAATTAATAAACAAAATGAATAGTGAATGAAAGTGTGTGAGGCCGTGTTTTTATAAAAGCAGCAGGTCTTAAAGCATCAACTAGGCTAGGTGCCCTTTTCACGGTCAACTCTCTAAAAGATTGATCTTGAAAAAACAACCCAGACACAGATAAGCTTTACTTTGTTTTCTAAAGCTGGAGCGGTAGCCATGCAGGGTCATTTTATGCCCAAAGCCAAAACATGGAAATTCAATATTGTTGTACAGCTTAAGTCAAGGAACTGTGGACACAGATTACATGATGGATACAGGCTACACCAAAGCAAACTCCTTTGACTCCAATTCTACACAGCACCTTCACAACTCCCAACAGATGATTATCTTTGCTTTGAAAGCACAATAGTTTGGCTTTCATTACATTTCAGATATGTTCGGATAAACTTTGGACCCCCACATGATGAATATGTCCAAAAATGAGTATGATAATAAGTGAAAGCCTTGCATCTCACTCACCCAAACTGCCAGACCATAAGTTGTTTTTTTAGTCCATCATGTTTTAAAAGACCTGTAACAAATACAGGAGTTAAGAGGTTTATTAGGCCTCTATTTTCTTCCATTCTCCACCAGCTTAGAGCCAAACCAATCTCTGCCTCTCTATACTCAGTGTTTCTATGGCAACACTCTCAAGAAAGCCTGACAAGAGGGTCTGAAGTGAAAATAGCATTTATCGTGGTTCAAAATTATATATAGAATTCAGTGATTTCAAAAGCAACCATAATAAAACCAACAGAATAAACTATTCCACATATAAAAATTGCTTAAGCAGACATTGATTTAACTTGTTTGAGTCTATCCTGCTTCAGTTCTGAATGAAGCTTGGTTTTGAAAGTGCTCAAATTCATGCACCTTGATCCCTGAAACAATACACCCCATTGGAGAGGAATTATCCAGAGAATATTCAACAGACAAACTGAGCTGCAACTCTTGTGAAGGGTTTAGGATTTGTGAAGTGGTCCTGACTGACAGGTTGAACTGACACTACTTGAGTAAATTACAGGTAATTTCAGCTTCAAAAAGAGGCAGTCAAAACCGCTGTCTCATAAATGGCAAGCACTCAATTTACTCAAGAACTCATATTAATTAGCATTCATAATTAGTTCTCAAACTCTGCATGACAAGCTCCGAACTCACTTTGTTATGGAAAAACATTTCAAGTATAACATTTCTGAAACAATATAAAGCCGAGCTTGAATGTAGAGCATTAGCCAAGACGCCTATTCCCTGTGTTTACAGATAAAGAGCTTGTATTTGTCTTGACTGAACAGACTAAATTATTGTGGAACAGCAGTATGTTCATTTGGTTACGCAACAGTGCTTAGGAAGTCATTTTAACTAGGGATGCACCAATATTATTACTGTGGTGCATAAAGATAAGACAATTATTTCATGAGTGTATACCATTTTGTTTAAATTAAAAATAACAAATAAAAACGGAAGTCAACCATTATAAATGCTACCTTAAAACCAAAAACAAATTCAATCATTTTAAAGTACTGTACATTAAAAATACTCAAATTTAAGTCATTTTAAAAGCTACTTTAAAATAAATGAAAAGGGAGCTAAATTATGTTAAATATCAAACATTTTGTTTTGAAAATAAAAACAAAACCTAAAATTATTCATTTTAAATACTACTTCAAATTAAACATTAAAAACTGAAATCAAATGCTTGAAATGCTAAAGTAAATAAAAGTAAATAATTTTAAATGCTAATTGAAAAATAAAGAAATAAAAACTAAAGTAAATTGCTTTTCAATGCTACAAGTGAATTTAGGCTTCACAACATTACAATGTGCAATACTAAAAATAGATATGCATTTGTTAATGATTACATTTAACAGTATTATTAAATTATTAGTGTTTTTAAAGATTGAGTTTTAATGAGCGTTAGATGGAAAAGAGGGAATTAAAATGGACATGGAGCCATATATATTGTGCAACTGCTTTCTGAAGCAGTACAATATTGTGGTGCTCAACCTAAATGTCTGCACTGTCTGTGCAAAAGACATTTTGTTATTTCTGAAATAAAAAATAAATAGATGAATGACTGTCAAACATCCCATAATTCCGTTACAGCTGTCTACTCCTCCACGGCTCCTGAGACCACGTCTGTGGTGCTCAAGGTGCCTTGATTTTGACCAAAACAAATAGTTGCAGTCTAGAAAAGAACGAGAGATATTTTCTTGGCTTACCATGTGATCAGGTCTTGCTCCAATGTAAACCCTTAGCAGAGGAGGAGTCTCTACAGTCTGGACATAAAGAAAACACAGAACAAAAAACTGTTACTTGTAGAAATGAAGGGTCAATAAATAAATCATGTTTGGATTAATCAATAACTTTCCGTTTCTCTTTGAAAAAAAAAGCAACTGTTTGTCCAAGTGCAGAACATGAGACACTGGTTTCATTTCATGAGAAGATCATACTGTCGAGTTAAAGTGACATTAAGGTTTTTCAAAATGAAAACAGTCCAGTTATTCCTGTATCACAGGGTGCATCAGCCTATCAACATTAATAATTTCAATAAATAAATAAATACATTTACATTATTAAGCAAATAATGTTCATTATTAGCAAAGCACACTACAACACTGAAGACTCGCCCTCAGATGTCTGTGACAAACACAAATGTGATGCTAAAAAGCATCGTTAATGGTCACAAGTTGCAATTTGTCTTTGATCTGGGGGCTTTCAAACAGGTTTGAAAAGCAAAGGCAGTGCAAATCAGTGCAAAAGCAACCTCTAGTGCTAATTCCATGCCAAGTATTTGAGAGAACAAATTTCATCGTAGCTTCAAAATACTAACCCTAAATTTTGGCACAACCTACAATTAATTGTGTTATCTAACACAACAGGAAATTATCCAAGGAAATCATCCAATTATCAAATGGGATTGGTGTTCAGCACTAAAAGGTGGAAACGGGATCTAAAACATTTTATGATCAGATCACTGAAAGCATGTAAGAAGGTAGTCAAAAATGTACGTGACCACACTGTATTTGTAGTGGAAGCGCTGTCTTATCCTGAATGCATCCAGGAACGCAGCAAGGCTCAGCCTATGCGCCACCCACTCACCTCAAAATTGAAAGTCAACATTTTAAATGTTACTATAAAAATAAAAAAATGTAACATTAAAAATAAAAACTAAAGTAAATTGTTTGAAATGCAACAAGCAAATTAAGGCTTCACAACATTACAACAGTATGAAAATGGCTAATTATTACATTTAACAGCATCATTACATTTTTACTAACGGTGCTCCGATTGATCGGCTACTAGGGGCAACTAAGGGGCTGCAAGATTAATCGAATGCGATTGTCATGCACATCTTGTCAGTTCTGTGATTAGTAGTAAATCTCCATCACCTGCTCAGACCTGTCAACCTTTGAAATTTTTTTTGAGTACCATCAGTGTGATATGGGGTGATACTGGGGGTCATATAGCCTATTCCTACATTACTTGAAGCTCCTTGATGGCTAATGTCAAAATCGTAGTTGCACAATGTGCAAAATGCTAGACTTCATGTTAAATATTTTTCATAGGTTAGTACTCAACAGGGATATGCCGGTATCAAATTTTCATGTTGCGATTAATTGCTAATGCTTTTATCACGGTATGCGGTATTATCACAATATTGAAATTTAGTTTAACAAAAGTGCTGTCATAATACAGCAAAACAGATTTAATAACTTTTTTCTTATAACAAAAATAATTGAACATTTAAATGCAATAAAGCAATAAAGAAAAATGTATAAAGTTAAAAGTTTTACACAGATTAAAGTGCAAAAGAACTATAAAGACCAATAGGTATCACTTTACAATAAGATCTCATTAGATAACCTTAGTTAATGCATTCACAATGAGCAATAGCTACATTTGCTACAGAAGTTAGTAATCTTTGTTTAAAAAATACAAGTCTTAGTTCATGTTAGCTCATTGAATAACACAGTTGCAACTTTCGATTTTAACAACCTGTTATTAAATATTGGAATACCTAAGATTAATGAATGTTCAGAAGAATTTTTCATTGGCAGTTTATGTTAACTAATGAATTAACTAATGTTAACTAATGAAGCCCTAATGTAAAGTGTGACCGAACAATAATCAAAACACTTTTAAACAATATCTAGGGTTATGTTGTAGTTCAGATTAAAATGTAAAAAAAAGTTTGAAAATAAATAGCCTATTAAGTCTAAATATTTAAGTATGTGGCGCGGTGATGAACATCACAGCAAATACACAAATCTGAATGGCTGTTTAAATCATTTAAACACGATTCAGAAACAGAAAGTAGTGCAGCTGCTTTGTTTACAGGGTTTCCGGGGTAACGGCTGCATTTAAATGAATTATTATTATTTCTGCAGTTTAGCGCCATCTGCTGTCAGAGAGTGAAAGTGCGCTTTCATCCAGAGCGTCTCTCACATGTTCCGCCATGTGCTTCTCGTCCGCGCTTGTTTACGTCAGAGTGCGCACGCGTCTTTCACGCAGCATACAGCGGTGTTGTGCATTTTGACCAGTTGATGGGAAAAGTATTCTTAAAATGCATTCAAAATTCGGAATAATTTGTAATATATAATTATTCACGGTATTTAGAAGTGCCCACGATAACAATATCGTGCATATTCATTACCGTGATATATCGCATTACCGAATACCGGCACAAGTCTAACGGCTACTGATCACTATCGGCCGATAATCACGTTGGGATGATTGATCGGTGGTCTCTAAAAAAGGCCGATCTCAAAAAAACGATCTCAAGCTGGCTGCCGTGAGAGGTTTGGCATGACATGCAGCGGCACCGTCTCAGTCTCTGTCCAGCGCGGGTGAAATAATTATAATGCTTTAGGTGAGGTACTCGCCTTCATATTTCTTCATTAAATAACTTATAGAGTAATTTGGAAACCTTGTGAGAGACGTAATTTCACAAACAGCGTGAGTGAATCACCACTCGCGTGTGCGCTCTCTCGTTCGCTCTCAAAATACGCAAATGGCTTCAAATCACCACACATCACGCCTGTCTGCAGCGAGCTGCACAGTTGACACATGAATAGTCACTTGCACAGTCGAGGCAGTGTCACATCGTCACTAAAGTTTATAAATTGCATTTCTTTTTAATTCTTGCCAGTGTTTAACCATTCAGCGCTCACGTACTCTGCTGGAGACCGTGCGCTCATGCACATTCGCAGCGTACATACATAACGCCGGGTTCACATTACTCCGTTTGTAGTGCATACGTGGTGTGTATTCTTTCCGCACTCATGTTAACAGATTAAAGCGTTCACTGCACACGGTTTCAGTCCTGCAGTGCAGAGATCGTTTCCGCACTGAGTCTATTGCTGCGCTGCAAGCGCTGAAATAAAGTAACAGCGCATTGTTTGCAGCAAATATTAACATGGATTGACACGAAAATTTAGTAATTACACCATAAATGCATATTATTAAAGTCTACTGTCACTGTGTTTCACAGTCAACACATATGGCTTTTTGGCTAGGTTTAAAGGGAAAGAGCACTTTTAGATAAA